TACGATAAGCGATTTCCTTTGGTGAAAATGATGCTGTATCTTTATCCAGAACGGTTACATTGTCTACATGAAACAACAGTTCATTTCACTTCAGTTATTCGGGATATAGAGACGCCAATCGGTAATGGAACGCTCAATATTGTATTTTCGATATTCATTGCTATTGTCGTTTAATTTGAAAAAATCTGCCGGCGAAGCCTATGAAATACTTTTGCGAATTTATAGTGATGCGGCTCCATTATATCCCAATTCTTGGGCTTTAGTTTCAACGATTCAACGGAAAAACTGGTGAGAACCATCCAAGAGGAGGAGAAATAGTTACCATAAGAATTGATTGAGATGCTATTTTGGCCGCTTATTGCAAAAGTTGCCAAGAGTACGTAGCCAAGAAATGCAGCTTGAATCGGAAATTCTACTACACTATACAATGTATTCACCAGATATGGCGCCACTTGTCCAGTTCGATGCAGCATCGAATGGCTGGCATGTAGGTTTGCATGCAACTTGAAGAAGTGCGATAAGGCGATGAGGCGATGATTCGATCGCTGTCAAATCAATATAAGTTCTTTCGACACCGTATCGCCATCTCTTGCCAGAGAACATGATTAACATCTATTGAAGCAAAATTTTTCTCGATAAAGTTGTGTTCCAAGTGAAGGCTAATCAAAATACATGTAAGCATCTAATTTATTGAGTGAATGGATGTTCGCTATATATTGCAATTAAGTCTCGTACATTGTTAGAAATTTGACGAATTAAAGGGCTTGTGCCCATATGCGTCTTTTTGTTTTCATTAAAAATAATACTTTTATTAATTCTATTATAGATTGTTGAAAATGAATAAACAAAATGCGCTGTTTGCCTTCAATTATTCAATGACATAAGTTATTATTGTGCTCTTCGAATGTAAATAAATATTTGCAATGAATTTTTATTATCAATAATTTTTTATTTATTTATCATTCCCTTAAACTGGAGCATCCTTTAATTAAATTTTACAGAATTTTTTTTTTTTTTGTTTTTTTTTGATTTCTCTTCTTTTTTTTTTTCTATTACAAGTGAGGGGGAATTTATTGAAATATTCATGAATCTCTATAACGCTTATGTAAACGCCCACGGTAGAATTAAGCTTTAAAAAAAGTGTAAAAAGCAAATGAATGTTAGTGGCGCTCGTTTTTTTTTTTTTCGCTTTTTTTATTTGTTCTCTTTACAATGACAGCAAATAAAAACAAAATTTCTCGGCATATGTGAAATTTTAAATTGAAGTTCAACTTTCAATCCGAGAGGCCATTCGTTGCAAGTCAATTAATTTCAATTAATACATTTGGAGGAGTAACTCAAGTATTTCCGTCGCTCGTATACACTTTATGCACTTTCGTATTATTTTTTGCAATTAAAACGCTTTGATCTGCAAATAAATTTTGTGTTTATCAGTTTCACGCACAAAAGACTCATACGCTATTCTTTATACGAACAATGCAGACAATGCAAGGCACATTATATTCCATTTACAAGAAATTTTAGTTAGACTTTATTACGCAATAAATAAATTATAATGGGCTTAAATCGAACAATTACTTTGTTGTTTGCTTATTTTATTTTTATTTTTTTATTTTTTTCATTAATTTAAATTTAAATGGCTTTGTTAAAATGCATGATCCATCACCGCACTGCTAATTTAGTGGTGATAACATTCACAAGTAGTGACACATAAGCAGTAAAGTAAAGCGATTACAGTACAGATGATGGATTTCAGTGATTTTTTTATCAAGAAAGAGAATAAATCGCAATTTCAATGAAATCGCCTTGAGATCCAGATATACAGCTCACTACTTTTGTGCCGTCTTGTTGATCCATTTCGTAGCGCGACTATATTTTCGCTTACTTTTCCCCATATTCAAGAAACAGTTTAAGTGGGCGCAAAATTGCAAAGATCGTATAGAAATGTTACCCAAGATATGTATATCATTTTGATCAAACGGTAAAGGCATCCAACAAGAAGTAAAACTTGCTTACTCTTTCAATTATCGATATATATTTTTTCTTTCTCTTGATTTTTTTAATTTTTCATTATTTGTTATATGCTTTAGGCAAACAAACCCCACCACCACCACCACCTTTATGTATGTGGGAATATCAAGAACTTATTACTTTTGCATTCAATGCAAGCGCCTGTGTTTTGACGAAATCATTGAAATCATATTCACTGTAAGCGTAAGTGTAAGAACGGACAGATTGCTATGCTCAATTTCAGTCTATTAATCGATTTAAGTTAATTCAACGTAGCCTGTGATGAGGGGTGCAAACGATAAAATTCCAAATTAAATCTGGTGCTCAAAGCATAGTCGTAAGATGATTTAGTTGGAAAACCGAAAGATAAACATATTATTGAACAAAAACAGTAATAGATATGAATAATAAGGCACTTGAAGGGTATTTTTTTTATTTTCTTAACAGTCATTTATAATATATATATATATATATATATATATATGTGTGTGTGTGTGTGTGTGTGTGAGAGAGAGAGAGAGAGAAAGAATCCTCTTTACGCTTGATTGATTGAAATGTATAAGCCTTAGGTAAGCAAACTCAAGTTACTCTAATTACGCATGATTAAGTTTGAACATTTAATTGATAATTAAATAAATAGAATTGAGATTAAATTAAGCAAGGAAGCGACCGAATTTCTGTTTTTTTTTTTTAACTCACATATTTAATTTTTTCAAGGATTTAAAGTTTAATTTAAATTTAAGTAACTAACGCATTAACCTACAATGACAGAATTCCAATAAATCGTTCAAGGAAATTCTGTTAAAGGGAGTCCTGGAAGGATTTCAATAAAAATATATAGTTCAAATACAATCATCGTGGATTTTTCTCAAAAAATACATTAAAATAAAATCTAAATTTAAGTTAATTACTTAAAATTGGAAAAATCAATTGAAATGAGAATAAGTTTTTCGACTACGTCAAATATAAGAATGAAAAGGTGAAAGCGTAATTGGCGACTACTTGGCGAAATCCGAAAATGCGAAAAAATGTAACTCGCCTACTATGAACTCTTGATCAATATCGTGTCTAATGATCCGCCGATTATATTCAGCTTTATGCGTCGAATCTGTTTATAATAAGTGTAAACTATATTTTCTATATCGGTTAATGTAGAAGCACTGTTTAGAAGGTCATTGCAGGCAAATTAAGTAATGCGAGAAAAATGCGACTCCCATCCTTAGCATCCTTGATTGATGGATATCCTCTCCAACGATGTGCAGGTTATAATTAACGTTGATTTTTCTTATCATCCGCGTCAGATGAAGTTCGTCAGTACACCAGCGAAATGACAATGAGTAAATACAATATATATATTTGTATATATATATATATATATATATATATATATATATAAATTATATACAGATGTATATAGATATAAAAAATATACGACGCTATTTATTAGGCAAATCAGCCGGAAAAATTTAATAGTTAAGTGTATAATGTCACCGATGTGTATGGCTGGCTTTTAAGAACCGGGCTAAATTAGTTAAGATCTACTTAGGTTAAATATTACGCTATTTAGCACGAAAGCCGAACATCGAGTCATGTGATTTCTGCACGGAAAATAAAACAAGCGTAACGTTGAACATTAGTTCAACGAAACACTTGTGCAGCTCTCGTTCAAATATCGTCTGAAACGTGTTCTGTGGGCCTTGTTTATCTCATATGCCCTTTAAAAAAAAAATTGCGTTGGGAAAGTTCCTTTCAATTTACAAATTAAAGATAGATCTATAAGGGCTTTATGCCTATGGCGTTTTAGTAGCATTATGTTATCAGAACTGTTACCTGTTCGATCGCGACACCTGCTTATCGCGACAACTTCTCGATCATTGTTAAGTAGAAGTTCTTTTTAATTATGCTGAAGCTAAATAGATAAACTTCGTTAGCATAAAATATGCATCAACAAATATTGCAATTTCTCTTCCTAGAAACGAAATCACAAATCAATAAACAATTTGGCGGATGGGATTTTTAAAACTTTTTAAAATTCATGTTAAAGAAAATCGTTACGATTGTTACCATTGCAGAGGAGTAGCCAAAAATTATTTATATATCGACAAATCGATTTTATCTACATTATATACCCGATTAAGAATTACATTAGTGCACTAAAAAGTTCGTGAAACCAATTACTGTTTATTGTATCGTTAATGTAATCGTTTCCCGTGGGATGCAGGTATAAAAATATAAATTACAACAAAAATAATTAAGATATAACATGGATTTCTAGAAATTTAATTGAATAAAAGATTTAAGATACAAAAAGGAATATACATATATATATATATATATATATGTGCATAGCTGTATAGAGAGATGAATGAAATGAACGAGAGACAAAAAGCGAATCGCTTCGAGGCTTTTCTCTGTGCTGAATGTTCAATCAGGTGTCAATTCAAATCATTGGTAACTACACTATGCAAGTATGTACAGCATTAGTGTTTTAATAGTGTTTTATAACAAACAAAACTTGATTTGTTTTATACACACACGTATATACGCTATTGCTTAACTATAGTCGTGCAGCCAGATGAAACGAAGAGAAGAGAAAAACATGCGATTCAATTTCATTACGTGAATCAGTTATACTCCCAATCAAATTGACAATTTTTTTTTTTTTTTTTTTTTTTTTTTTTTTGGTTATTTCTGTGTACAAGGCAAGTTAAGGCAAGTTAAGGCAAGGCAAGGCAATATAAGCAACTATTCACGTAGATGAAAAGAGAAAATAAAAGAAGAAAAAGTAAATTTCTGTAAACTGTTTTATTTCTATTAAATGATATCCTGAATGTTTCATTTTTGTATCTTTTCCTTTTTTATTTTTTTTTTTTTTCTTGCTGCTTAATGTGAACCTGACTTCCGTGATTTCCTTTGGCACAATGCAATCAACACAACAACATCGTTGTCACTATCGTCGTGAACAACAAAAATAACAACAAATATTAAAGCAAACTGCAATGTTGCAAATACAACATATGCTCACGGCGAAACATTTAAATTGGATTGTAAAACACAATGTGTTTGTGAGGTAAGTCGATGAGATCGATAAATGCTCTTAAGTATGTACGGCGAGGCGTTCCAAGAAAGGGAAATCGTTAAGCAGTAACCAGTTGTAAATTGTTAAACAAAAAAAAAAAAATAAATAAATAAATAAAAAAATAAAAAAAACAAAAACAAAAAGGAGCTTTTCACAATCCTTTAATGTTTTTTTTTTTTTTTTTTTTTGCGTAAATTTGCTGAAAAGCGAGAAGAAAATCAAATGTAAATCATGATTTCAGCTATAGATAGATGAGAGATTTCTCAAAGTTCTCATAAGTTTTGCTCTTAAGGGCGTTTATTAAAAGGAGAGACAAAATAAAACATCTCGTTAGAGATATTGACATTTTAGCGGATTTCAATTACTTGATTAGTAAGCCAATCCGTTCGCAGGGATGACGGTTCCGCTTGAATTGGTAACCTTTACTCAGAAATTGACACTATAGAGAACTGGAAAATGTTACTAGCATTGGGGCATCGGCCAGAAAGGTCGGCCATTGTCCGAATGAGATAGACGAAGACAATCGATCGATGAAATCAATTCGTGCATGTGTCGTCTACGATGTTATAAAAAGAACAACAAAATTTTTGTGATTTGTAAAACTCCGCAATTTCCATCCGAATTCCCGGGTTAGTCGAGTGTTATCATAAATAAACGAATGGCATGGTCGGTACATGACATATTTACATATACTCTTTACCTTCACATTTATATCAATAACCAATCTTCTCCTTCTATTCGGATAATATCAAGAAAATATGCCGCTTAAGAGCTATATTAAGGGATAGAGTTGTTAGTGTTGACTAGTTTTTACTATAGCTTAAGTTATATGTGTGGTGATAGTAATAAACGCCAAAAAAAAAAAACAACAGAAAAAAAAAAATAAATAAATTAAAAAAAAGAATGAATTGAGTAACTGTTTCACCTATACCACTAACTAGAATTTCATTTGAAAGCTCGGCTCGCCTTGTGATTTTTTTCACTTTCCTCGCGGCATTGTTTTCACCATTAAAATGTTGAGAAACTTAAAATTAGACGATCCTATGCGAACCAGATGGCCTGTAGTCTTTTCCCGCTTTGCACGATTCATTCATACCGTGTTATATCGAAACTGTGTTTAACGAAACCTTTTTAAAATTAAAATATCGCATGAAATAAAAAAATTTAAGCTCTGATATAATATAAATTAAAACAGTGTGTACCGTGTTATATACAAAGTTTATTCGTATTGTGTCGAAATTCTGTTATATGTTACCCTGAAATTATGTAACTCAGTATACTACGCACCGTGCTGTAGCACAGCCAAATCTTGAAATGTAAAGTTTTACAAAGACAATGAATTTCCTTCCAAAGGTGTATATAAATGAAAATCCAAGTTAACTTCAAGTTTTCATTGAAGAAATTTTGATGAAATATACAAATAAAAATTGTATAAAAAATAAAGATGACGATCATAAAATTAATTTTCATCAAAAATTTCCACTAATCTTTTCTTTTGTTTTTTTTTTGTCAAAATGGGTTAAAACTCCTCTTATGAATGATAAAATAAAAGTAGAAGCAAAAATCAACGAAACCGGGTTTTACAAGGGACGCCTGTTTTTGGATTTTTGCTAGGCGTTTTCAAGTCAAAAATTTATTCCCAACTCAATCGATACTACGGTCTCTTTTGCCAATGCATGTTCGGTCACTACCCATCAATCCATTTGGCCACTGGCAGCAGCATATGCCAAATCTTCTTTTTTATTTACATAAATTGTTTTGATGAAAACAGACGAATGAACCTTTAAAGCCCTTTGCTCATGCAAACTGCATATCATTTTTTAAGAGTCCGAGATATCATACGATGCTTTGCAGCACACCCTGCAATTTCGACCATTCGTTTACGCGTGACAGAAATTTCGATGATACTTTACTTCACTTCACCTCATTTCAAAGGGAAAAAATTAATTTTTCTTTAAATTCTAATTAAATATTGGCTTTTAAATCGAAAACACGATTAACTTGAAAAGTGTTAAGACAGTCATTCTTTGTGGAAAACAACAATCAGTCTGTGTGTGCAGATTTTCAAAAAAAAGAGAAAAAAGGAGAAGGACACTAGTCGATGTCCTATAAAAAATTATCCTTCGCAGTCGAAAAGTGAAGCTAACAAGAAACATCTAAGGAAGTCAGAGACGTACCGCGTTTACCTACAGTAGAAGAAAAGTATTGTCTCCCAATTTGAGGGCAAGTATGCTTGTTTTGAAATTCACATTGTACCCCCCTATTCTATTGACTTGGAAGCGAATTTTAAGGGCTTAACAAACTATTTTAAAAAAAAAAAAAAAAAAAACAATTTATAGAAAGCCTTGCGCTCATTATAGTAGATTACGTTGATGCAGAAATGCAATAAAATATTTTTTTTTTTGACTTAGCCTTGGGAATTATTAATCGATTAATTCGAAGCCCATGAATTTCATTTAGACGCATGCTTATCTAATCGGAATTGAAAGTAAAAAGTTTGTAGCCAAGGTTGTTCCTCTCTGCAAAGTATTGCAGTGTGTCAATAGCGGCATTAACTAACACAAGGTCGCAACCAACTGTCGTTCTCGCTGTTTACCTCGGCTAACAACGTGTGCATAAATATTATGGGATTTTCGATGCATCGTATACCAGCACCACCTATTTAAGATATTCGGAGCGTGGAATGATGGATGAAGGGAATTTTTTTGCGTTCTCTTCAACACACACAGGAATAATAATTATTATTATACGCGTCTCAGACTGTATAACGAAAGTAAATCCACCCAAACTGTCAATTTGCAAAAACAAAAAAAAAAAAAAAAAATTGATTTTAGACAATAACTACCTTATATTAGTTTGGGGAAAAAGAAATCCATTATTTCTATATGAACTTCAGGACTTTATTTAACATGCTTCGGATTGTCCGATATATATTATAATATTTAAGTCGTAGGTAGATTTGAATTTTTTACATAAACTTTAGTTTAATTTTTTAATTAATTTTTGTTGCATGCATTTTGTCCAAACGTAGAAGAGTTAGCGCGAAGAAGACTCGCGAACAAGAATTTGTCTTACATAGAACTATATAAACGTTTACGTTAAGTAATTAAAAATAGGAATTAGGTAAGAACATAATGTTAATAAAGTTTTACAATCGTTTAACAAATTCGGTTAACTACTTTCCCTTTCTATTCGGCATGGGAGAGTTTTTTTTTTTTTTTGCCCGTTTTTCAATTAGGATTAACGACAGATTTATTTCTCTTTACATTTTTTCAAAACTAGTATTTCATTACATTTTTTTCACAAACACACACACACACACAACACACACTTAATAGCATTACAAAAACACGTTCACGTGCGAAGCAAGATATAGATTAAAACTAGGAAAGCACACGTCATTTTCAAAACTCTTAGCGAAGAATGCATAAAGGATTTGATATGTGTTTGAAGTGTGTATCTGTTCAACAGGGATTGACCTGCTTTTGCCTGATGAACACTAAATGTTTATATTTAACCTGAATAACTCCGAGAGATCCCGTCATGCACTGAGGAATTAAAAAAAACATAAATAAAAAAAAATTAATAAAACTTATTATAATCCGTCGTTCAAGTATAAACTGCATCTATGACAAAATCGACTTTGACATAAGTTCTCGTCAATGTCATTCGATATTCAAGATCAAGTTGCACGACTATTAAATGTTGGCGACATACAATACGACTAGTAGGAGTACTCTCCCACATTCCTATACGTACACACAAGGCTAGGTGTCTATTAATTTATTTTCGCTTCACATAAACGTGCAAAACGCTATACAGTTTGTATGAATCATAAGAAGGAATATTTGTTGAAATTAAAGTTTATTTTAAATTAAAAACATTATAGTGGGGAAACAGCTTACCTTACTTGGAAATATACCATGTTTCCATAATTTTTATGGGCGATGATCCAACAAATCAAATCTACATGATCTACATTTCATTTGTGTGTCACATTTTCACGGCCAACATATTACCACTTATCAATTTTCATCATAAAATATAAAAAATTCAAGGATGTGACGATAAATTCAAATTTAATTAGCAGAGACACTTACCAATTCGCTTAACCGAGCCCTGTAAATCTCACAGCAGAGATCCGTTAAATAGTAATAGGATTAACGCGTAGTTTGAGTTGAAAGCCTAGCCCAGCCCAAATTAGAAAATGAAAAACAATTTCCCTGGACACCTCAAGAATCGATATGAAAAATAATTCCATACAAGTTCAAATTGTGGTTTTCGGCACTATTAACTTTAACAAGTTTTTCAACTTTGGCAAGTTTTATGCTAAGGACATATTATTAAAAATAGTTCTCGAAAACAAAGTTTGAACTTTTTTAGTTTATTTGAAATGCATTTTGATGCAGAGTCACGTGACGTCGATGAATGCAGGCGACATTTTCTAGTTTAATCGCGTTACAGACTCAAATTTGGCTATTTTTCCATAACCGTTCACTGCTAACGTAGCAAATTTCATAAAATTGTCAAACAATAGTTGCTACGGGTAAAATTTGAACTTTTTCTCTAATTTAGATGGAGTAGGCTTCCATGTGCAACGATATCTCAATCCTTTCTATTTAACATAGCTCTGTTAAGGTGTTCACACCGCATCGCATCAGCGCGATGGCATCGATTAAAATTCTTTCTTTTTTTTTTTTTAACATACCACGCAAAAATTGATCATGGAATCGACAAAAATTTAATATTATTGAAGATCTAGAACTAAAAGTTCTTATTCAAAAATTGTAGTTAAAATTTGGCAATACGGCTGTGATGGAAAACTAAATTTTTAAATTGTTTAAAATTTTGCTTGGCCCACAGTCATCCTATCATATCATTCTTGATTATTGGAGGAATCATTTAGGTTAATAGAAAATAAATTTAATTGAGAGCAAAGTGAAGGAGCAGATTAACCAAAAGTATTGTGCATCGCTGGCCACTATTTTTTCCCAAATCTCAGACAGTTTTCGAATTGCATCTCGAAAAATCGTCCCGTCTTTTAAGGTCATCCCCAAAAGAATCAATTTTTAGCTATCGTCATAAGAATCGAACAACCGTTCCAGCAAACAATAAATCGTCAATTGTAATCTAAGTTCATCGTCAAAGAATCGCGTTGGTTGATATGGCGTCCCAGGTCCGAGCTGCAAACATATCGAGAACGAGTTTCACCATAAAAAGCAGAGTTCCTTCATATCAAGAACTCACCATATGATGGCCTTTGACATTTCACGCTCATTTTTTGCCCAGAGATAGTTCGCCTACTAGGCATCACAGTTATTTAGGTTATGGATATCGTAACCTATCCACTGTTCACCACACGCAAAAATTTAGCAACACTATCCTCTGAATTAAATCGGAAAAGTAAAGCTTCCCGCATATGACGTGCTCTAGCATAGATCTATATTTGTTAAAAGCTGCAAGAGACTATCTTGTATTCGCTTTAATGCGGTCATCTAGACAGTTGCGTGTAGCTTAACGAGAGCATTCATAGGCTTATCCAGGACTGTGCTACATACATTCTTTAGGGAAGTGATTTATATTCCTAACGATTTTATTCGTTGCCTAAATCCGTACGATTTATCATGTTCATTTCGTTTAGATGATAAGAAAATTATTAGCATGTCACCCACAATTGGAGGCCTTTGTTTTTTCTTTTTTAATAAGTAAAGTGTTGAAAAATTGCAAATGTATTTTAAAATTCATCATACAAGCACTTGAAAGACCATTTCGATTAGCATAGACAGACAAACAAACCAAATTTCTATTGAGACAAATTGCGCACTAGGAGTATGATAAAGATTGCAAACCTAGCCTTACCAACCTAGCAATTTTTACAGCAGCCGGTAAAGAATTGAGGCTACTAAGTATAATTTAACATAATGAGTTAAGGGCAACCACATAATATAGGGAAATATAAAGGAAATACTAATTAATAACATGTATCCTAAGATCTATTGTCGAGTGTTAAAACTCTCATAGATAACTCTCATTGATATATATTGTATTCTCTGGAGCTGGGATAGCTTAGCGGCCCAGGAAACACAAGAAATTTGTAGTACACTTGGGCGGTTGTACGAATTCGCACATTATTCACTATCTTTTCTTAGTCTAACAAAATTCACAAAGTCACACCTTGACGACCGAGCCGTCGCTTTCGCGATTCGCGACCGACTCTCTCGAGAGTCCAGGCTCGACTACCTCATCCTAACTAAATTATTCTACCTTACCCTATTCTTAATCTATTCTTATTCTACTCTTACCCTATTCCTATTCTATTCTTACCCTATCCTTATTCTATTCTTCTTCTATCCCTATCCTATTCTTAATCTATTCTTATTCTCTAACCTATTCTCTATCTTATGCTCTAGCTTAATCTGTAACCTACTCTTTACCTTACTCTCTTACTTAGGCCCTAATTTATACTCCAGCTTAAACTAGCACTCTCCCCCTATCAGAGACGGAGAAACCGTGAGGCCATTTTATATATTTTGAATCAATCTAGTTTTGAAGTAGTCGCCAACTTCCCAGTAAAGAGTTACGATAAACAAAAAAAGGGATCCACCTTAAACGAATCCAAAGCTTTTAATATTTTTATAAGTATTTTGATCAGTAAATGATGATCTTCTCTAGCAGAAAGCGATTTAATCTTTGACCATTCATTCCTTTTGCGTTCGTATTGCTTTAATAACATTAATTAATATGAATATTAATAATGAATAATAAACAAGAAAATTGTAAAACTAGTTGATAGCTAGGATTTCTCCTAACTGCGCGTATCTCACCTTTTTTTTTTCAAATGCTCAATAGCTCAACTATCATGGCAGCTGCTGTATAGCCTCAAGGATGATTCCAGTTTGGAAGGATGAGTGCTGACGTTATATACAGGAATTGTATTTAAATATTACGGAAGCAAGAGAGAAATATGAAGAAGAATAGCAAGGAAAAGAAGGGCAGGTTAATGGCAAATGAAATGCCATTAAGTCTGTTATGAAATTATTTATTTAACACACGCACACACACACATATATATATATATATATATATATATATATATATATATACACACACACACACAAAATATATAAATAAATTTTAGCTAATGCTAAAAACAATATGTATATATATTTTTTTAAATGGCAATGACACATTTTTTCATTTTTCAAGTAAATGTATAGTCGTAGCCTTTTCAACTTGCTCTGTCAATGGCAAGAGTGTAAAAGAAATGAGAGCTGCGGCTTTCGTTACTTAATATTTGGCAGGAGGAATTCCATTATGAAATATGTGAAAACAAGCTAAGATCTGTCTAAAGGGTAAACGATGATATCGAACGCCACGCCTGCTTTTTTTTACTTACACTTCATTATCCAGAACAGTTTGTGCTATGTAAGCTCGATTTGTTTCTAACCTATTGGATGTCAACTTTAGAATAATTTTTTTGTTTCTCACGAACAGATCGGAAAATTGTAAATTTCTACTTGGTTCAGCCCCGCCAAGTGTAAAGTTTCTTTGCTACAATAAATGACTTTGCAATAGTGCGTTGACAAGTGAGTAAAGTAATATAAGGTGCCGCGCACACCGGATCGTTATTATCCACTCAACGATATGAAATGTTGCAATCATGAAGAAAAATTACTTACGAAGCCTTCTTCTCAAACCTATAATCCAATGAAAACTTTAATGCTAAAAGGAAGTCTTATCGAATCCCTTAATCACTTAAACTGTTTACGAAGAACGAGCGAATATATATTTGATATATGATCTTTTCGCTTACGACGTATGCGTATACATTCATATGATGCTTATATGCCCACGACAGATCTGTGTATCATATATGCCATCACCTGAAATTTATTACTATATCTAAATATAGATCATGAAATGATAACTATCAACCTTTTTCAACTTCACTTAAACTTAAAAACCCTTCGTGTTTTCTTCTCATGCAGTCAGTCAGCTACTGTTCTTGCGTTTATAAAAAATACATAAGAAACTATCGCAACAAGAAAATGCTCCTTAAAAAATATTACGCTTATTAAACATTTTATTTGCACATATGAACAAACACATTTCTATATTATTATGTGTGCATGTGTTTGCATCTCTCCATGCTGGGGAATAACATATTAAAAGTCTTTTAAAAGAATTTACGATTCATTTAAAAAGAAAAGACTGCAATTTTTACCCACATGCACACACACGCAAATGGAAGCACACATATACTCTCACAGACATATCTACATTACTAACATTTCTATTTATAAAACGTTTCTCATATGCATACTATACACTATATATATATATATATATATATATATATATATCATACACTTAAAAGAAACATATTCACTCAACTTCCACTTTTGAAGTAGTTTCTAAGAAAATATGTACGTACCGAGGGGGGTGTATACATATATATATACATATATATATATTGTTGCTTATGCAAGCTTCCATGTACGTATGAGCGTAGCTCTGAACGCCTTTGTGCGAGAGGGTAAAATATTGCACTATAACATCCTTAAAGCATCATTGTAGCGCAATTTATGAGCCACAATTTTATTTTGATGATGGAATAGCAACAACAACAACAACAACAACAACGGCAATTGCTGTAACAACAGTTCGCATTGCGCGTCCCGCATCGGATTGAAAGAAATATAGCTTATAAACATGGCTGGTAAACACGTTTGTGCGTATCTGTGCTTTTTTGTGCTTTTGTGTGTGGACCGTACTAGAAAACCGCACCAGACGGATACAAATCAAATGATTTTCTTTTAAATACTTGAACAGCTAGCTAGCTATACAGTATATGCTTACGTATAAATGTACATGAAAAATGCATATGAATATACGGATAGCAAGCCTGTATAATTTTATATATATATAACAAACATATAAGAGTGAATGTGTCTGTGCATTATTGCTTAACATAAGTAAATGATAAAAAAAAATTATTGTTAAACTATTATTAAATAAGATCAACTTATTACCATTAGCTTATTGGTTAGTTTTTATACTTGAATATCTCCTTCCATCCCTATCCCTGCATTTTAACATAAATGGAATATTTTGCATTAAAAAAAAAAAAGAGAGGGAAAAGTTTTCAACATTTTTTAATCTCACACTTTTTTTTGCATTTTTATAGAATGGTCGCCACGCTTGCTCGTCGTTATGCCCGAAAGAACAGTTACCGGCACCAGAGGATACTATATCATGCCGATCGCCCCGCTTAGTGGAAGTGCCAGGCCACTGTTGCAAAATGTGGTTATGCGAAAATCCAATAGCCGATGGTAAGTTTCTTTCTTTTTCCCACCTACACATTAAGCCCATAAGCAACAAATTTGCATTAGCATTTAATGAGCAAATTAATGCGCATTTTGAGAATAGAATGAAATTTGTGATCAACAATGTGTCATAATCGGATTACGAGGAATTAAAAAATGTCAAGAAAATTTTAAAGTGGCTTTCAAAAAAAAAAAAAACAATTTTTTCAAATCATTTATTGAAAATGATTTTTTGGAAAGCTTTTGTGAAAGATTTCGATTAAGTCAAAAAATATTGACCGACTGTAGGTCACCTTTAAAATGCAAATGTATTAAATAGCGTACGCGACGTGATTTTCTGTCATTCATAAAACGTTCTTGGATAGCTGGTCAAACAATCATAATTAAATTTTAAGGTAACCTCGCCGAATGGTAGCACCTCGCTTGGTACGATATAAATCCGGATATTGCTGTAGATCGTAAATCTTTTCGTCTCGCCAATCGCGATATTGATCGTACTATTCCTTACTTACCTTTATCAATGGTTTGAAAAAAAAAAAAAAATCATTCTTTGTCTTCGCCGACAAAAATTTGATCGAATAAATTGTTGGTCGAATTTGCTGATGCGAAGCGTACATGTCAGGTGCGTTTTTATAGCCAATTTTCTTCAAATAGCTTAATCATTCTTTTTTAGTTCTAGGTGTGTTGTGTCCTTAAAAAAATTTTTATTTAATAAACTATATATATACATATATATTATATGTTTTCGAAATATGTCCTATAAAGATTATAAAAATTCAACTTAAGCCAATTCTTTATGAAAACTTTCTATTTTGTCGAGCAGCCATTTTTTTATGCCTAGAAAAAGGCAAAAAAAAAGCAAAAAAAAAGCAAAAAAAAAATCTCTTAAGAAATAATTTGAAATTATTACTATTATTATTTTGTTGTTGTTGTTTTGGCAGTATATGCCACCTGCCATAACTCCTCCAGTAGTCCGTGGACTCCATGTAGCAACGCGTGCGGTCTGGGAATATCAACACGCTTTACCACCACCACAGCTGGTTGCAGTCAATTGAACAATTTACGTTTATGCGAGAATCGTAAATGTGTTAACACGAATAATAGAAGCGAAGTTCAAACAAATAATAATAATAATAATAATAACAATAACAGCAAAATGCGTAGCAAACACAGAATTTTACACAATTTAATTTTAAGTAGCGACGATAAAAATGGCGAAAATTATGATAAACCCCAACATAAAATAAGGGTAAATAACTAAAGACTTGAAAATATAATAATAGAAATAATAATGCGAAAGCGATTTATTACAGAAAGGTCACGAATGCCGCAGCCTGCAACGCTTGGGACCGGCGCGTGTTCGTTTAGGTAAATGCGTCTCAAGGAAATTGTATCGTCCGAAATTATGCGGACGTTGTCACGATATACGCAAATGTTGTGTGCCTTCAGTATCGACTACTATACAGGTAAGTACCAGGCATACCAGAATATTTATTTAGTGCATCACATCATTATCAACTTCGACGTCTTCGTCTTCGTCATTGTCGTCATCATTATTATTATTATTATTATTATTATTATCATCATTATTATTATTGCCATCATTCGTCGTAGCCAATTGAGTCAGTCACTTGTAGAAAACGACCTTATCATTTAAAAAAAAAAAATAAATAAAAATAAAAAAAAAGAAAATAAATTTATGTTTATCAAGAAAAAACCAGAAATGAAAAAAGAAACCTTAATTGATGTCTGAATTTCACACTTTAATAAGTTTCCATTCAAGCAGACGATTTTATCGACTTGTGCTTGGCTTCATCGTTTTTTGTTTTTGTTTTGTGCTCATACTTTTATTTTTCTATTTATGTAACCTTTTACGCTCTACCCGACGTAATGGCGATGATGACGATTATGCTATAAATGGATTTTGTTCGTTGACGACTATGACATGGTGGGATGGCCAGGTGGAATTGCTGTGTCCTTTGAATGCCATTGATCCAATTAGCTATGTTGAACAGCAACAACGACAGCAACATCATCAAGGATTTTTGCATGGTCCACAAGCAGCGGTCACACCGCTTTGGGACACCCGTTCCCTCGAACCCATCGATCAGGAATTTTTACAATCGCATCAAATACAAATTGAAAATAAATTCATTGCTGTCGAATGGATATTGAAATGTGAATGCAATGGAAACGTAAGTGTTATACGCCATAATATGAGCAAAAAACTATCACTTAAGTTTATCTTCAAAATATTTATTTATTTCTGAACAGTTCTTAGGATGAAAAAAAAAAAAAATTGTGTTAACATAATAGCAATAACAATAGTAAGGAATCCGTCCACATCTACACATACAAAAAATATGTTTCGATTTGCGTTCATTGTTCATGAATGATTCAACATTTGTTGTGAATTAAGTTTTCATGATATTAAAGAAATAAGAAAAAAAGAAAGAAAAAAAAAAAAGAAAAAAAAGAAGCTCTTATTGTTCTATGAAAATGAACAGAGACAAAGGGAAAAGCAAGTAATGTGAAGAATCGTTTTAACACTAAATAAAAACAAAAGTCTTATTAAAATATTTTCAAGACATGAAAAGATTCATATTTCAAAAAAAAAAAACTAAAAGCTTTAGCTTCAATATATTTTTAAAAAATTTCAATGGCTTTAAACACATCTTTCTATCCTTTCTCGTTCGCCTCCGAACATCTTTGCTGTCATTTCATTTTATTGTTCTGCCATCATCATAACTTTAGCGATTTGATTGCTTCATGTCAACGAGTCTTTCAATCTCAATAATACATTTGTATTATTTTTCAACAGAATTCTATTTGCCGTCCATGATTCGACCCCCCGTCCCGTCACCATTTCATTATTTATGGCTTTCATATAAAGCATATGCAAAGAAAAAAAATAAAAAATAAATAAATAAATAAAGAAAACGAAAAATAAATGTAAAAATATTGAAAAAAGCATTAAACTCGAAAAGCATGAGTAATATGCATAACAAGCAGACCGGCATGCAGACAACGCTCTTCAATTCAAGTATAATCGAGTATTGAGATTGAGAATGAAAGTAAAAGAACAGAAAAGAAAAGGAAAGAAAATAGGTAAAGAAAGATTGGTGCGTTTTACGATGAATTTTCGTTATACCTCTTCGCTCAATGCGGAATATTTAGTTAAGGTAACACAATTCAATACACGTTTCATGTTTTTTTTTTTTTTTTTTTTTTTTTTTTTTTTTTTTTTTTTAAAGCGGATAATTGTAATAATAACATATTTGAGAAGTAAAATAAGGGTAAAGGAGAAGTACAATTGCGAGCGTAATTCGTTTAAAAATACATTGTTTTCCTTTTTTCACTTTTTGTCTTGGCCGGAATGTCAACAGTTGATGCGAGGAATACGGAATTTCATTATCAATTTCAATCTGCGCCCATCTAGAGATCACTAATATATATGTAGGTATCTAATCGCAATCGAATAGAAAAAAAATATATATATCGATCAACGTATTTCTATATGGAAAAAATCGTAGAACGGAAATAGCGTAAGCAGATAAGTGAATATGTAAAAGAGCGATTAAACAAAAGAACAGAGAGCAAGTATGACGTGAGTAAGACTTTTCAAAATGATACGATTATTAAAAGCAAGCAAGCCAACAAGTAAATAAGTAATTTAAAGGACAAGCAGTACATTCTCAAGGACATATTTCATAATCAGCCTAAATTCTTTAGAGAAAAGAAAACTGGCTCTTGCTAAGACTTGCGTGATTAAGCTTGTCAAGGACAGAAAATTAGACACTTCTACCTACCTGAGTAAGCTTGGCTTTATGGACCCGCGTAGAGTCTTTAGGCACCTACCGCGGTATTGGGCTAACTATGAACTGCATTGCTTTATGCGAGTGACCCAATAAACATTTTAATGAAAATTATCATATTCGTGTCTCTATTAGTTTTTCCTCATCTTCCTTATGCCATTACAGATCTGGGATTTAAATTATTTAACGCTTTGGTTAAGTAACACGCAATCCAAGACTTGTATTATACATTCTGTTATGAGTGCTTATGATACGCAGCTGCTAATAACTAAACAAAATGTTGACTTGTAGCCTTCAAGAAAAAAAAAAAAGAAAAGAATTACTCGAACAAGTACCATTACGCGCTCATCAAGCTCACCATAGTCTATATGGAAATCTGTAGTTGCGGTAATTAAGCTCTTGCTGTTGCAACTACTAAGAATTTTCTATATTTAATTTCGTAATTTTGTTAAATAAAATTTCAGCGAATAATCTTCTATGGAATATTGGGCATAATGTATAAACATAAAAGAATTTCATTTACGAATTTTGTAGGCGTATCACAGGGCGTACGCACAGTTATAGAACAGGTATGGACAACGGTCGGCTTAAACTTAGAAGCAGTTGTTCGAGTCGCTACTAGCGAATCACAAATAACGAACATTGCCAATTTATTAACCCCATTACACTGAAGTTTGCTTAATAGGTTCACTGTATTCATTGCGTGACGTAATAATAAGATAAATATTCATTACAAATTTTAATTTTTATCATTTTGTTAATCCATTCAACTTGCTCTCTGGCCCTCGCCATGATATGAAAATTAAAATGAAACCTTTGATGAAAAAGGTTGCGCACTCCTGGAACCGGAAAATGTAATATAATAAATAAGAAAATTATATTCGGTTGTGAATGAATCTTTCATACTCATCAGCGTTATGCTACAAAATGCAAAACAAAACAAAACGAAAAGAAGAAGATTTGCATATTCTATAGCAATGGGTGGGCGCGGCTGATTTTTTCTATATCGAATTTGTAAGCGATGTCTTGAGTTACGCTAATGGGAGAAAATTTACCACAAATACTATAACAATATGTATATGTATATATATATATATAATAACGAAGAGACGGATTGACGAACAGACGGCCATTTTTAGGTGGATTTTAAATTTGAAACTTATCGTATATACTTTATGGGGGGCTTTGAAGCTTGCTCTGCGCTTAATAAGAGTATCGCAAAAATATTAAATTTTAATACACTACAGGGTTGGGTAGGCGTGCCATTTTTGTACGGCGACTGAAGCATCACTCCTAGCATGTACGCTTAATTTTCGTCAATTTATCTGCTGAGGCTTATGGGTAATGAGTACAAAACCAATCTATTATTCCTATTGAAAAACAAAGATGTTCTCACTTTACGTTCTGTCTGTGCTGTCGGCTTGTCCTTCGACCTAAATGGCCCATTTCTCGTGCAAGAACTTGGAATGTTTTAAACAAATTTCAATTCGATAATTTCGGCCCGGAGTGTGTTTACAACACTCGTTACGCAGGCGGACAGTCGGACATGCTTAAATCGATTCAGAAATTGATGCTGATCAAGAAGGTATATACTTTTTGGGTTCTCTGAAGTTTCCTTCTGACAGTTGTAAACGTTTTGACAACGTATATATATATATATATGTTATACGCATCTTTCGGTGATGAGTATAAAATAATGTATTACATGAAGACATAACTCATAACATCATAACTCAAGATGATAGAACTAAGAGCCATAAAAAAAAGATTTGAGATTTAATTCAGACACTTTCGATAAAACTTTAAACGCATAGTGCCGATATTGCCGATATTGGGTATAGTAGTGCAGTAGTTTATGGAATGAATATTTTTTTTAGTCCTATTATAAAGACTTAAAAAATTGAACATAACTTATTTGATGAATCATTTTTTTTTCTCTTGAAATATGATGCTATGTCTGGTGGTTTCGCTTGCATTAACCGGAAGGAAGTAGAAGAAGAGCATGACAGTACTATTCGCTTACTTGATCAAATAAAACAATAATATTTATTCCGTCCTCTCTTATTAAATTCGCGGTTGTCAACTGATGATGTATGCTTTTCTTTTTACTTATTCGAAACTTTAAAATATACATAAGAGGCATTAAGAAATGAAAATTCTTTCCTGCATTTAAATGCTCAGTTTTGGGGTAAAGAAACGATTGAATTAAAAACAAATATATTGACTGCTATTATGTAGAAATAATTTTGTAGAATATTTTTAAAACTTTAAAGCTTAAAATAAATTATATAAAAAAGAAAAAAAAAAAAAATCTTTTTTAAATAAGCTTTTATTTTAATGAATTAAAAAGCGGATAATAGATACTTCTTTAAAGTCAAAAGCGTTAATGGCGTTTAACATTAAATTTTTACCTCTTTAATTGTGCACGTATTTTCCGCCGATGTCAGGGTAATATCTAAATGACCTGGAATTGAGTGCTTATGAAAAATAATCAAACGTTGCTTCTTGGCTTCTCTATGCTCTTTTCTTTCTTTCTTTTCTTTCTTTCTTTTCTTTATGTGAGCATTCAAAGAGACTTGCTCCATTTTCTATATGTTTTCGATTTATCATGCAACAATTTCTTAATATTCTTCTCCAACATAAGGAAGCAAACAAGTAGATATTAAATTTTATAACTGGAAGAAAGAATGATTGTTGCATTGACTGGTTCTTGAAAGAAATGCCATTAAATTCATTTCATTTTGCACTTAAATAATAAAAAGATGGTTTTTTTTTTTTTTTTTTTTTTTTTTGTGAATTCGCCGCAATATACCATGTGTATCGAACCACAATGACGGCTGTAATGATATTGCGAAATGCGAAAATAATCACAACTGACTTATAAACACGATTTTTATGCATTTACATACAACGAGTATGCAATGAAGATCCGCCTCAAGGTAAACATAGTCTTGTTGGTTTGCAATTTCCTTATTCGCAAAGAGACTTTTGCAATTTTAAAATATATATATATATATATATATATACAAATTTTTACTTCATTGTATTTCAGTTAAGGTCTCGTAACAAATGCAATACAAAATTATAACCAACGATATTGCATTTCCTTGCAACAACGACGTTATTTTATTGCTTTCACTCAGTCATTTATATAGTAAAGGTTTTATCACCGCCACCACCAATACCACCACCACCGCTACAGAACGTTTGACCAAAAGACCAATGTTCTTTCCCTGCTACTACGCGATTGTTGCAAAATGATAGTTGTTTCCTGTTGTGTACGTCCAACTTTACATGTTGCAGACCCAAACAAATCCCAAGCATTGATTTACCGTAGATTGAGCATAAACTATTGAATCATTTGGTAAAATAGAAATTTTTAAACTCTATTCGAGTTTAATTACAGCCTTCGTGTAGAAAGGCAATCATTGATTATTAAAGCAAAGGTGAACTGAAAATTTGCATATCACTTGCATAAACACTTTCTTCAATATTTTCAAAATTTTCAAAAAAAAAAACGGGAATTTAAGAAATTATGTAAAAATTTTCTGCAGTCTGCTAATAAAATGCAGAAAAAGGCGCGCTATCTATATAATATTTCTCGAATTTGGTGTAGATTTTAAGAGCCGAATCTCTATAGCCCACTAAATTTATCTTAAAACAAGTAAAAACACTGGAATGGGGCACGGGCCCGCCGCTAGATACTCTACACAACTTTACTTTGGCCTTTCAAAGTACGGTGTTATATGGGACGTGGCCGAAAAAATGATCCGATTGAAATCATTTTCTATAGCATTAGGTCTTGGCCCAAAACGTGTTCTTAGGTGTTCTTAACTTCCTCAAAATATATCATGAGCTATGAGACTTTTAGGTTGAATATAAGAAAACAAGACGGACCGACGGACAGATTTGCTTAGATCGATGGAAAAAGTGATACTGAATTAATCGGTCGGTGGAGTAAAAGGCGAAGTCTATCTGAAATTCTTCTGAGTGCTGTATACACACGCGCCAACTTAATATGCACTTGTACCTCATTATGATGAAGAGTATAAAAAAGTATGGAAAAGATCAAATTGCTTTACTTTCTAACATTGTGCAGACATGGAAAATTTTTTCCTCATTTCACACAGATGCTGCAAGAGTACCCGTAAGACCTTATTTGTCGGAATTTTGACCAGTGCTGCGTATCATTATATTTACTGTAGTGAATGACTGATTAGCAAAAACACATTTTTTCTTTCTGTATTTAACACTGCACGATGAAGGATATACTCATTTAGTCATAATGCTTGCAACACCCAAAAGGAAACTTCAGAGACCCTATAATACATATATATTCTGAATTGGTTAAGCCATGTTTGCCGGTCTGTATGTTTGCGAGGTGTGTGTTGTTGACGGTTGAAAATTCCCACATTTACTTTAGGACAAACTCTGCTCTATTTAGGTTCGAAAGTGTGACGAATCGGCCATGTCCACACAAAGTTACAATTGATTAAACATCCTTTTGGGCCTGGGTTACATCATACATTTGGTGCATTTTCAACAACAATATGTGTGCAATAACTTCCGACACCTCTGACGACTCTGAAGTCAATATCTTAGGTCGTCAACACGTCTGTCAAAAAGTTTACCATAGACATTATACTTATGAAAGTATAGAAATGGCTGTATATATACATATATATATATATATATATATATATATATATATATCCACTTTTCCTACTTTAGTGATAAGTGGAAAAAGCACAAGAACAATAATGTTTAGAAAAGTGGTCTAAAGTTGCAAAAGATGGCTTACGATGCGAGCATTCCTCTTCAAGCGTTGGGAATATATGTATATACGTAAATGCATGCATACATACATACATATGTATGCCCGAAATTCTAGACAAATTTGGATAATTGCATGGATGAAGCATTTGAACAAATTTTGCGATATGGATAAAATCTATTTTGATGGAGCTCATATTAACCTTCGTAATCAACTATCGGCGATTTCGGGCACGTTGTCGACGGAATATGTAATATGAAGTGTTTTTGTTAAACGCGTAAATTCTTCTTTAAACTAGTCGTTGTCATCTTGACGAAATGTCAAGAATGACGTATACGTTTACGTAAAATTGCAAAATAGTCTGACTTGTGACGTCAGAGGGTTAAAGTTACTAAAGCTTATCACGATTTAGCTTAACTAATTGCAAAAACAGAAAGAATAGAAGCAAAATAAAAAATTACTAAGAAAAGTATTTACCACATTAATGCCCCATCTCTCTCCGGTGACCGTTTGTTAGTCATTTTCTGTAGCATATCTGTTCATCAAAAAGTAAGTCGTCTGGCGTCCATCTATCCATCGTTGAATTGCCTTCAGCTCCTCCATCTTCAACGCTACCTAGTTAAGTACAACCATTAAGAGAACTTTTAAGCGTAGACGAGTAAACATATCAAAAATACCGTCTGTTTTATATACGTTTGTAGATGTCTAACGTTTTTATTCGACTCACAATTCATGGCGATAACTCGAATTCCCATGACGTTCCGTCACTTTTGATTTCCGTATCGTATTGAGTTCTCAGCTTTGCTACCATATTTCAGCGAATTTCGTACAACAATGCACAACCGTTCTTCACTATTCATGTATAATTAACACATTACTGGGACGTTGTTAAAGTATTTCTAAAAGCACTGAGCATTTTTTTTCATACCCACCATACCATTTTCAAAACAAGGGTGTATTAAGTTTATACGGATGTATGCAACGTCCAGAGAGACTTGACACCGTCCCGCGTTTTATTATACCCATCACATCAATTCAGAATGACTTTCTTAATGTTTGCCGTCGAAACCATTGGAAATATTTCGAAAAATATTCGGTTTGCTGAGATAGGCAGCTATTTACTTTTGAGCCGTTTCTAGCAGTAGAGAAAGCATACTGTAAAGTGATGACCGTGTTTTCTATCAATTACAAAATAATAATAATATTGCTGGTAAATTAAAAAAAAAAAAAAATGTATTGATAAACTTAATAAAAACAAACTATATGTGATTAAAGATTTATTTAATATTTTTTTTATTTTTTTTCATTCAGAAAAATTGTCACAACAATGTTGCGGCTAATACCACTACCAACCATCAAACAATTAACAACATAAATAAACAAAATTACAATAATGACTACAATGAAAATTTCGACAACACCAATGATGATAATGAACAGCAGCTGTCACAAGGAGAATACCAGCAGCTACAGCATTTAGTCAACAAACCATATGATGTCTACGCCAATAACTATGGCAACAATGAGAACGGCTATGAGGAAAGGAAAATTACTGGCATTAACAAGAACCACCACAACTATAAAAGTTATCAACAGAAACAAAAACAAAAACAACAACAACAACGTCAACGTCAACAACATCGTCAATGGCAACATCACCAAAAGTGGCAAAATGAATGGCGACAACGACAGTGGTCGTCATCAGTTTTAGAGGATGAAACTCAACCAGACATTATACCATATCCGCTACCATTGAAAACAAACGTAGCATTGACAAAAAACCGGTTTAGTAAAGCTAAAAAAGCATTTGAAAATAAAGGCAAAATAACGAAAGGAATGATTAAGCAAGGGTCTCTAAAATATCAACAACAACAACAACAACAACAAGAAATGCAAAAAGAAATATCTCACTCTACATAACAATATAATAATAAAAAGCATAAGCGACCAGGGCAGCAAAAAACACGACAGAATAGAAATCAGAAGCAGGGGCTACGTAGACCAAAGGAGGAGCATCATAAACTAAAATATCACAACAACAGGAAATAGAATACCATAGTGTAAGTGTGTACATGTACATATGTATGTATGTATGTATGTATGTATGTATATGTTAATTGTGCGTGTGTGTGTGTGCGTGTGTGTGTGTGTGTGTGTGTGTGTGTGTGTGTGTGTGTGATAGAGAGAGAGAGAGAGAAAGAGAAAGAGAAAGATTATACGTGCGTGCAAGCGATTGTGTGCGTGACTGAGTGTATATATATATTCATATATATATATATATATATATATATATATATATATATATATGTATATATATATATATATATGTATATGTAAACGAATACGAATGGGTGGGTAATGAATTTCAATACGTGCGGCATATATAGTATGGTAGTTATAAGTTTAGACACATATAGATGCCGACATAGATGCACACAAACAGTTTAAATAAAACACTGTATAGGCAGACGACATAGGTATGTGTGCAAGCAAATGAGAACAAGTGCAATATGGTTGGATGTTAGTTGTTTTTTTATTTTTTTTATTTTTCATTTCATTTTTTAGATGCTATTTGCACTTAACAAGTACAAGAATAGATTAAATTTATTAAAATATTTGCGACGGTCAGAATGCCTGAATGCCAGCGTTAAAGCCACTGTAAAACATTTATAGCTTAAGCTGAAGATATTTACAAAACCATACCCGTTTATCCGTTTATCCACTTTTGGAGCTCAAGTAATTTTATAAAAACCTAGTCATACGTATGGCTCGTTTCGTTGTTGATAGATATCAAGTTTCGTAAAAGAGTCGAATAAAAACGAGATATGTCCGGTTAGTTTAACGTTAAACCGATGGAAACACAAACAAACAACCATAAATTTTCACTGTAAACATGTTGCGCCACCCATAATATGTATTTAGAAGTACTCGTAAATATTTTAAAATTTTACGAATAAAGAATAAAAAAAAAAAAAAAAAATTAAAAACGAGGATCCCATCAACTGGAAACGAAGTCATTCATTTGTTCCCAACATATGAATAAATATAAATGAAAAGTAAATCAAAACAAAAAAAAAAAAAAAAAAAAAAAAGGAAAACGAGAACGAAAAAGAAGAGAAGAGAAGGCAAAGGAGATACTTTTGAGTTTAATTTATTTACCCTTAATAAAGATATTCTCGCCTTCTCTAAAATCCCTTGATATTTATACAAGAATTTGTAAGTTTGAAAATTTATGCAAAAATCCCAAACCATCTATGGCAGCATATTTTGTGAAAGCGTCTTTCATGACAAACATTCAACTTTAATAGAGTTCGGCTGGAGATGTACACAGAATCGATCACATTTTCTCTTAGGTTTCCTTTTTTTTTTTTTTTTTTTTTCTTTTTCATTTTAAATCTATCGGGAATGAAAAGATAACAGGTAGGGTTAGATTAGCGCCTTCATTTAACCTAACATATAGAGCTAAAGTTTCGACTGTCAGAACATTTGTACTTTGCAGATTGGCAAAATTGGTTTCAACTTTTGCCCTTTATATCTGAGATGTTACATTGGGCATTGTTGACTGGATTGTTGCTCAAGATGACGCCACACGTTTTATGATTTTATTTCGATAAAAGCCACAAACTCGGCACACCTCTGAGAAATGCTTTGTTTTTGTTGTTACTAGGAAAAATCAAGCGATTGTTCAATTATTATAAATAAGCTCGAGAATTTCTTAAGCTTGGAAATGCTTATGCTAGGCATTCAAAGGAAATGTAGATGAGATCTAGAGCGAGAAGCGTCAAATTGCCATCACATCATCATTGTTGCTCGCCCGCTATTCGACATGCTTTGATCTCGCAAATATATTGGATTCTTCGAAATTTGACTTGATTGATAACGAGCAATAAAAATTTATAACTTATTTCCAACATGTATGTCAGAAAATGGTCACAATCGCAATCCATGACGGCAAGCCGACGTTTGTGTCCAACGCGGTTACATTGTGTAAGATTAATAAGGGATCCTGCATTGCTGATTGCTGCCACTTTGTCGATGGTCTTAAGCCCATACTACACCGTATTGTATTGTGCTCTATTTACGAAATCCAAAAAAGACACATGAACTTCTCATCCACCCAGATATAGATGAATTTATATCCTCATCTAACAACCAGCCAGAGTTGAAAAAATTTTAAGATTTCTTCAGAAATTGAAACATACAAGCATTTTCTTGACACCTATAGAACGCAATTACGACAACGGTTAATGCATTGAAACAGTGTTCATAAGTTTGACGAATTATTGAATATAGAAAGACAGTGAGCCAATTTTTTGATCGGAATTGGAGAAAATGATGGACGCTGGAATAGCATTGCAAATTAGTTAAGTTAATTGTTAAAAACATGCCAATCTGCCAATATATTTTAAACTTAAAAATTTTTCCATTTGCAAACGTTGACCAAAAAAAATTACAATTTGCTCTTACAACTTGTTCATAACGCCATTAGGAGCCATTCTTGGTTCAGAAAGTTGTCCGAAAAAAACTCTCAATGCGTACAATTTACGCTGTGCAGTGAATGCAAATTCTGGACAATTAGCTGACCGAACGGATTTGTTTCAAGTGTGTTACATATGTCATATATGATATCATCGGTATAATATTTTTGTGCACAGTATACAGGTAATAAAGTTAAATGATCAATCATATCGAAAAAGACTAGACTTCTATTAGGAATTTTAGCCTTTTTATTTCAAATAAAACAAAAAACAAAAAAAAAAACAAAACAAAAAAAAGAAGAAGAAAAAGAAATAGAAACAATTGTTAAATTTAACAATTTTTCTTTTCTAACTAAACTCTTATTAATATGCTTCGAATAGTCAGTCACGCATGATCGGTTCACCTTTTGCTTGCCGTTTAAGAAAAAAAACACCACTTTAGGTAAAACAATTTTGAACACAGGTTTAGATTATATAAGGACCTTACATATATCATCATTAAATATCACAAATGAAAGTAAAAAAACAAATTATTTTGTTACACGAATGGATTAATAATTAAACTATATAAATATATATATATATATATATATATATATATATATATACATATATATATATACATACATATATACATGTATACATATATACATATTATTTATAGTACATAAATATGATAATATTTTAAATCTCTATAAGGTAAATAAATCGTGAAAAACAAAACTTGAAATATTTTTGTGAACAAATATACACAGCAACAGCATAAAAGCAAAGAATTGTTTTCAACTAGGCATGTAAACGAAAAATTTATTTATGAAGAAAAACAACAAATGCAAATGAAAAGCAACTTTTGAAACATAACGCAATCGAAATCACGAAAAATTTATATGTAAAATTATATGTAAGAAAAATTGTGGTCGCCTTGTGGCGAACGTTGATAACCGGCCCCCTAAAAAGCTTAATTGAAAAAATCCTAAAAAATTTATTTTTAAAATATGCACTTTTTTTTAACATTTACTCTAAGGCAGAACAAAATATGATGATTATAATAATAATATAATAATAATACGTAAAAGTGATTGGGCATATTAACGGGAACGAATGACACTAAGTTAGTAGCGATAAAAATTTTAAACACATGCAGGAGCATTTTATATAATTCATTTAATTTATACCTTTTTTCAAACTATTGTCAGATTGCATAGTTTTTTTTTTTTTTTTTTACGCATATATTTATTTAATTTACTATCAACAGATATTATATGTACAAATATTCTTGTTCATAATGTGTTCTTAAGAGACTTGACGCAGTAGACGTAAAAAATGTACCCGTTGACGTTAATATCTTGTGCGTCGGACAAACTTTTTCATTGCATTCATACAATGACTTATTTATCACTTGCTATTCTCCTCGTGCACTGATAACATTTGAATCATTTTTTCCATATACAATTAGTATCGCATAAGTATTTGTAAATTTTTTTAATATGTTGTCTTCTAGCATCTTGAAAATTTCGCCATTCGCATCATTGTGATTGTGTAGTTAATCTGAGCAAACTGTTCATAATTTCCTTAACTATTACGTTATTGTTCCTATTCATTTAAATACTTTTCGTATGTTTCCCATATGCGCTATTACGAAAATCGTAGCTCTCAATGAGTGCCGTAAATCATTTGGCTTATCAATATTAGAATCATCTGTCTGGGCAACTATTAGCGACACCTTTCGCATCGGTTTGATCCGCTAATATTTAAACGTTTTCGTCCAATCGCGCAAATGAATATTTACGGTTTTGCGTTGAATTTGTATAACGATGGCATTACAAAACTGTTGACGGTTCAGTATATTTATTCGCTCGGGTCCAGTTATATAACTCGCTCCATTTTTTTCGGTTTTGCGCGACAAAGAAACTAAAAGAGATAATAGCATAATTTGTGATTAAAACCAAAGAAAATAAAAATTCTCAACCGAACCGCAGCTAATCTCTAAAATCATCCCTTGTTGTGATTCGTAATCATGTCATGTCAAAAAATGACATATTTGTAATCAACTAATGAAAAAATGAATTAACACAAAATTAAATTTCCAATTTTAGATTATGTAACTTATCAAATTTATATATTTTTGAATCAAAAAGTTTCATAGAATAGGAGCGAACATCTTGGTTTTAGTAATATTTCACCTTTTCAACTTTTCGCCTGTTTTGAAAGAACACACAAATAACAGCCTTCCTTCCTTCCTTATAATAACGAAAAGGAGGAGCAAGAGGCAGAGGGAGACAGACGAAGTCAATTTGTAACGTCTGCATCTGCCGTGATGACTTCATCAGACAAGTTCCCTAGAACCATAGTTAATACATTAGTGAATTAGGGAACCCCTTGCGGCTTGCAAGACAATACTACCAGAGAGAGAGAGAGAGAGAGAGAGAGAGAGAGAGAGAGAGAGAGAGAGAGGGCTTATTCCAAGCCAAAGTGCCAGAATGAAGGCTTGGTCCGAACCTTTCCCTCTGGGCAGAGCAAAGTCGAACCTCAACCGTTAATTATTTAATGCGCCCATATCACAATCCCCCACGAATA